GCGTACACCGACCAGGTTAGAGTACATGCTGAGACCTTAGCTCCTGCAAGCCCGGGGTCCGATATGGTTGGCCGACGACGACTAATAAACCAGAAATGGGGTACAAGTCTCTCTTGTCCCTGTTGGTGACTACGTTTCCGGATTACAACAAAATACAGGTTGGTGCGCCGTTCTAAGCCTGCATCTTTACAATACGGCTCAGGTAAAAAAGACCAGGAAGACCAGCTGTTTTCTGGCAGAAAAAGATTAAGGGAGTACATAGAGTTATTTCCGCGTCGGCGGATATTCCTGACAGCAAAAGAGAGGGACCGTACGGTTAGTCAACCCAACTTTGTGCTCGCGTAAGGCGTTGGTACAAGCGCTAAGGCTTCCCTGGGCAGAATATGTGTTTACACCTGCCACGTCGCGTTGCAGCAATGAAACAGGAACAGCGGATTGCCGGACTCCTACCCCTCCCTAAGCCCCTGGCAGAACTGGAATCCAACCTCCGACCTTTGCACGCCCCTCAACCCTCTCCCCCCCGCACTGACTTTTCTTGGCTGTTTAACTTGGCAAATCTACCCTCCCTCAGATCACTGTACAGGTCTAATAATGAGTAATCGAAAGGGTACGTTTGCCGAACTTGACTCCTTGAGTGTCTACATGGGCATCATCGTTGAATTTAAACAATCAGCCAATAAGAATCGTGCTTCTGATATCTTCTCGACGGTGTCCGCAAGAATTACATTTACCACTGCCTAAGTGACTTGACAGTGTGTGGGATAATTGCATTGAACACAATCATCCTTTTAGCAGAAAAGTATGAGAGGCGTAAGACTGACAGGTGACTGCAAAGAAGCCCTGTAAACAATGACAGTGGCGACTCAACGAAGACCGTGAAGACTGTGGCAGCGGCTGTTTTTATGGTTTACTAGGCAAAGGTGGAGTTTAACCCCCCCCCCACCCATCGTCGCCATGGTTACCAGGTAGCTCGGCGATGGAGAATTATTCGCCAAAGCACTGCCTGTTACAACGGTCTTCGAGGCGTGCACTAATTAACGGACACGGAAAATCATTCAACACTCCCAACAAACATCCTTCTGGACAGCAGTACCAGTAGATTCAGAACAATAAACAAGGAGTTGGAGTTCTACTGCGCCAGTAACCCCCTCCCCCTCCTCTCCTCGCGAAAACAGTGGTACAGTAAGGAAACTATGTGAATGTTTGAGCGATAAAGCTTTATGATAGGACGCGGGAATGGGAACTCTCCGCAATACTGGTGATTCCGTGCCGAGTTCCAGCAAGATTAGGGTTATGACACAGGAAGAGGCGCCCTTCCCCGAATTTAACGGAAGACCGTCTGAATTGTCCGAGGGTTCCTATTCCACCGTCTTACTGGATGGACGCTGAAAGCGGTTCGGAATCAATTCTGGCGGCTATCGAAAACTTCAGCACAAAAAACGCCTGAGGGAACATAGTTCCTACTTCCTTTCCGCACAGTCAAGTAAGTAACGCCGGAGGGCACGATACTACTGGAGCTCCTTTTGTGAGTAGCATGAGAGCGAAAAGTGGACCTGTCGGACAGGAACCAACCTGCCTAGGTCAGACCACATGTATACGCCAAAGAAAGTTGTCCTCCAGACTGAATTTAGAGGAACTGTAGTAGGCCACTCTACAGGCCTGGCGCTGTAAAATAATCCCGGCAGGCGACTTAGACTCCTGCAGTGTAAGTGATCTGGAAGGTGATCTATACAGTCGGGTGTCGGTGCGAGTAAAGGCAAGACCCCGGGAGCGAAGCCACACCGCGTCCAACCCCTCCCCACATGTTGTCCTTGTCAACGCACGTTCAGCGCCTTTATTGGCTTGGTGGAACACCTTAGTACTTATCGTACCAGCGTCGTCACAATGCCAAGGATTTGTGCCCCCCTCTCCCCCCCCCCCATTCGATGAGCCCGCCAGGTAAATGCTCATTAAGCATTCTGGCACTGCCGCGATCATATCCACAAAACGAATCTTATATCTAGGATAGATACAGTGAGTGACCGATCTCGTGAAATGTTGGCTGAAATGCGATTTCGATTAAGAAGGATTACTTAGGTGCGGTTGTAATATTGGTTGTCTTGCGGCATAATCCTATGGTATTTCGGACTCGGCAGGGTGTCAGCTTTTGAATGCACTGCTTTTCAAACTCCCGTAGAAACCTTGGCAAAACATGACTACTTAAGTAGCGTGCATTTTTCTCATCGGTTTTGATGGTTTGGCAAATTCAAATACATCTTATAGAAACCAGAAACAAAAATAGGCTTTCTTCCAGTTGTTTGATAGAAAATAACGTCATCCCTACATTTTATAAATGAAGATGGAGTATAATCAGGTTTTAAAAAAGTTTCTAATTGTGAGATTTTTCAAGACCGCCCAATGTTCATTGGCATGGCATCGTACCTGCCCGTTTGCCACTGCTTCTCATGAAACGTACCATACAGTCCGCATCCATTGCAAGATTTTATGGGCTCTATATGGTATCTTTTTAAAGGCATAGAAGAGCATGTGATTTTCTTTACGCGGAACGCATGCACCTTGCAGACTTAAATCACTAAGCACTAGTGCAACTACTGATCAGACTCCAAATTATTCGGCAATTAGAACACTTTTTTGAAACCTAATTATACTCCTTCTTAGGGTATAAAATATATTGATGGGGTAATTTCTATAAAGCGACTCAGAGAAAGCCTATTTTTGTTTATGGTTTCTACAAGATGTAGATAAATTTGTAAGGCCATCGAATATCTATGTGAAAAATGCACGCTACGTAAGTGGTCATTTTTTTACCAAGTACGGCTTCTGTGGGAGATTGAAAAGCCGTGTATGCAACAGCTGACATCCTGCTGAGTTTGAAATATTATAAGATTATGCCGCAAGATAATCAGTATTACAACCGCGCCTAAGTAATCCTTCGTAATCGAAAAGGCATTTCAGAATTTTAACCCACATTTCATAAGATCAGTCACTCACTGTACTGTCATCCCTGCGCAAAACCCTTCGATCTCTGAAGCTGCGTTTCTTGAGCCCACCGAGCCGCATCATCTCAGTCCGCCGACGCCGCAGGTGTCTGTGTCCCCAACGGCAGGCATGACGAGTGGAGCGTCTGCTGTGTGGAGCGTGATTTGGTGCATACTGCCATCTCCGTCGCTCTGCCCTCCGGTACGACTGGACGCCTATTCGACGTCCAGCTAGGTTTCCAACACGCATTCATCGTTTTAACCCCTTCTCTTCCCCCCCACCAACCCTCTAACCTACCAGCTATTGCAGCATGCAGTTAGAACTAAGCAACTACAAGCCCACATCCTCCGTGGCCCCGAATATCAAACCCTACCGCCCATTAACCAAGCCGCAACAAACGCAAATTGGCCATCGTTGATTGGAGAGAGCGCGTGCTTTATGCTCCTGACAGCACGCAGAGTCGCAAACTGCAAGGACGCCGGGCATGAAAGTAACCCCAGCTAACACTTCCTGGTTTCTCGTTGACGAGTACGTGGTGGAAAGAGGAAACTGCCAGTGCTTCAAGGCAACTCAGATAACTCTGCAGACATGACAGGAAATGAGAGAGAGAGAGAGAGAGAGAGAGAGAGAGAGTGGGTGCCGACCTGCTGTTCTGACACGAGGATCGTGAATTGACAATGTGGTATGAAAGACAAAGGCAACTGTTTGTGATCCTAAGTTGAAACCAGACGTCTCTGAAGACAATCGACAGGCAGGACAGAAACGACCGCGTGAAACGGAGGAGAGGACACCCGGAGTAAGAACTTTACGCACAACCAGCTAATCCCACTTTGAAACAAAAGATGGGAGGAACGAGGGAAGCCCAGACAGCCTTGATCGAGAACTAATGCACATAAGTGGCAGGGTCAATATGACGTCAGGGCATGTACATGGCTACGACGTGGGTGATTGAGGAGTAGCAACCGATATCGCGGCGGCGTACAAAGTGCCCTGCTTGTCGACTCCTCCCTGGGTTGCGACGAAAGAAGAAGCCGCACCTGCCTTATGTTGAAGTGGAGCCATCGGTACAATCGGTGGCTGTCGTGACGAAAAGCCCAGTTAACCACCATGTGGTTAACGGTGATTCAACCGTGCCAATCCACAAACATCCGATCGAGCAGCACTCACATCCCACAAATATCTGGTCCGTCGTACACTTCCGTCGCTGTTTGCTGATGTCTAGGACAAACAAGGCCTGTGTTAAAAGGATTTTTTAAAAAAACACTTATTTCGATCTCCGTCATTGCTTCGCAAGGGGCTTTATACCAAAAAGCAAATCAGAGGTTGGGAAATCTAGCGGTGAGTCAAACGCCAGGTGCAGAATCTGTCAAACATGTGCCTGGTCTTTCGATAGCATCTACTCGAGACGAAAAAGAATTTCCCGAGTACCTGGCCTACCTTTTGGGCCCAACTTATGTGACTAACAGAAGAACTTTGAGAGGACAAATTAAGGTCGAAAGGCGTTGCTAGAACAAAAGATGCATTGCGGCGTGACACAGCCGGGCATTATTATGGTCAGCGAATCCGACTCTACAACAACGGCGCAAAATATTCATAGTCTGCAGCAGGTGGACGGTTTCGAGGGCTTGAATGGAGTCTCCGATCTCAAGCAAGCCAATCGTGTGAAGGCACGGGACTGCGGTTAACGAGATGCAAATAAAACATGCTCTAGTATATCCATGGAGGCTGGCTCTAGTCAACACCCCGTGGATTGCGCTGAGAAGCGCAGAGTCTAGCCAACTGCCATTTCTAACGAACTTATGGCTAATTTTCAAAACAACAGGGGCAGCAGCCAACTACACTGAGACGTATGTACTTGTCACGTGGACAGAGCGGAAATAAAACAGTACAAATGAAGGCAGAGGAGGGGGGGCGGGAAGAGAGAACGTGTGCGTACGTCTGGTGAGTATGCAGGTGTTCAAGTGTGTCATGCAAAGTCCACACATGCCTACCGCCAGCGACCGTCCCAATTTCACTTACTGTCACACAAACATGTTTTTGTTCGGGTGGTAGGGGTCATTGTTGCTGTCCTCGTAGACATAATTCTTTACAACTTCCGCGGGAGATCGCGGCGATACAACGGACTCATTGGTGGAGATGGTTGTTCCTCTAGTCAGAATGGGGCGATAGTGCTGTTTTAGGGCTGGCCAATGTTGCTCAGGAGGGGGGTGAGGCGATAAAGCCGCGGCGGAGTGGGAAGAAGAATGAAGGGGAGATTCAGAGGAGTAAGCACCACTACCAGCTAAGTCATCGTCATTCCGCATGGACGGTAGACCGTTGGGGGTTGGCGGGGAGGCTACACATCGTCGGACAAGTGCCGATCGAAATAAACCTAGTAGATCCATGGGCAGGGGGAACACGATAGTTGAGTTCTTTTCTGCAGAGATGCTGGCCAGGGTTTGAAGGTAACGCAACTGCAGAGCTATTGGGCAGATGGCGATCTCCTGAGCGGCAAGTTTGAGTGATCGCGAGGCGTCCTCTTCACCCTTTGCTGCAATCACCTTGGCGCGGGCCTCCCGTGTGGCTTCTGCCTCCGCAGCCATTGCACGCTGTAGTTGCAGCGGCAACCGCACATCCTTAATTTCCACGCGCTCCACCTTGACACCCCATGTGTCGGTGGCGCTGTCCAGCGTTTCTTGCATCATAGCGGCAATCTCTTCAAGATCCGTTAGGAGGGAATAGAGATCCACTGTGCCGAGCACATTGCGCAATGTGGTCTGAGCCAGAAGGCGCGTTGATCGGTTGGCGTTCTCCACGTTTACCACCGCCATAATTGGATCAAATATGCGATAATAGACGACAGCTTCTACAGCTACAGTTACGGAATCCTTGGTAAGCACTTCCTGAGTGGGCACATCGAATGTGAAGGTTCGCAGATCCACGCGACGCATGCGATCGAGGAAGGGTAATTTGAAGATAAGACCAGGCCCCACAGCTGAGTTGGATATGAGGCGTCCGAGGCGGAAAATGACAGCACGCTCGTACTGCGGAATGACGCGGAAGCAAAATAAGAGGGAAAATGGGAAGGCAAACAGGACGAAGGCGGTGGAAAGGAACTTCAAAATTTCCTCACACAACAGCATGGCTGCAACTGAAAAGCCACCCCGCGTAGTAAAGTGTTCGGGTAGTGGGGTCGTGAACCTCTCCGGCACAAGAGAGAAGCCACGTTTCATCTGGCGCCGGCGACTATTTAAATCCGCATCGGTAACGGCCTTGTCACCCATGTTTTTCCCCTCTTCTACGTTGCTAAATCCCCATGGTTCGTTTTCGCGATAAACAAGCATATAATATGATTTCGCAATCAACGACCTAGTATCTACACCCAAGGGAAAGTTTTGCGCTCGTCAGTCGTTGGTCAAAACGGTTCGGCCAAATTGGCCAATCGGAATGCAGAATAGTTAGCATTTGCTTAGCTGGACCTATGTACTTAACTTAAGCCAGTAGGTATGATTTTGCCCTTTAATTTGTCATACGCAGGCGCACGAAGTCGGAACATAATACGTACACACTGCTTCCATGTTCAAAATACTGCGAATACCGGTAACAGCACCACAACAAACTTGTCTCCCACCGATGCTTTGCTTTTAGGTCCTCGGACAAGCAACCCGCGAGACTGTTCTGTACCCGTCTGCACTTAAAATCCCGAATAACCTTACGAATATGTCCAATTTCGGCATCATGATCCACGCTGCAGCGTCCGCTAAAACCGCTGGACTCTGCAGCCCTGGTCTATTGGTGTGAGTGGACGGCATGCGAAATCGACTATAAAGTGGGGATGAGCTCTCGACATCCGATGGTCAACGATTGAACACCAATCAACCAAAAATCTGACGGCCTTCAGCCTTTTTTGGCACAACAGAGATGTCCACTGCCCGTAGGAAGTACGAATATAAAATTACGGCTCTTTGGGAATAAAGGTTCCGGTGGCCAGTTTTTATTGCGGTCCATTTAATCCTGCCGGTAGATGTGACGTAGCGATCGCCCTCTCGAAACAAAAGACGCATGCGCAGCATGCGCAGAGAAAAGGGAGAACTTACTAACACCTCTGTCGTTTCTGTCTGTACGCCGAAATCAACCGGAGTCCAGAACGATAAAGGAACTGTTTGACCCGTAGCTGCAAGAACTCTCTCGTTATGATTAACCGGTCGTTGGTTGTCGGAAAGGCAGGAGCAAACCAGTCGACTCTTCAAACGGCCACATTTACTGCTTCAGACTTGTTCCTCCATGGGAGAGTAGTAAAGGATTTCGAGTTTAGCCGACACAAAGTAGACAATTACCAACAGCCCTTGCGTCCAGCATTCCTGCACAAACTTTCCAAGCTTGTATTACAATACCCGATGTGCTACTTGTCTGACTAGCTGCATACTAGTCAGCTGATGTTTTCACAGCCAGGTGCATGATAACAGGCGCATGAGTGGTGTCGAAACTGGCAACACCTTTAGGCGTGAGCATACTGTCGACACACGCCTGAACGTCTGCCTCTAGTCTGCGTCCAAAATGTCCTACAAAAGACGTCTAGGTTCCGCAAAATTGTGACAACCCAACATGACCGACTCTGAGCGCGGAAATCTGGTCTCCCTATATAGTCCCCAGTTGAAGGAAACGGTAATTGAAAATGGCCGTCATTAAAATCCTCAGTCCTCGTAGCACCTGAGGAATGACTGTATCAGCGGAAGAACCTTAACCTTATGCCTAGAGGGACAAGCTGGACCTCGCAACAATGGCTGCTCCCGTCAACTTCTGAGAACTTATCTAGAGATGGCCGAAAAACCTATTAGGTTGAAATCACTACCTCCATAGAGGAGATCTCAAGCGTCGGCGACACCAATCCATTCGCCAAGCCAGTGGTAGGTTTACAGCACTAAGTGCGCCTGTTCGCGGCGTCAGAGGCGACTCCTACAGCTGGTAACTTGGCCAAGACCGAGCGTCCGCGTGAGCACTTCCATTTCCTTCGCAACCTAAAGCCACCTCTCCCTCCCTGATAGGGGAGTTTCGTATTTTTCAGCCCTCCCAGGAAGAAAACATCTATGCGATACTGGGAGTTTGTAACTAGGCACCCGAAGAGGATAGCATACCACTGAAGTCTACAAGGTTTTTGTTTACATTCTAGGGCCCTGACCCCAGTAGATGATAAAACAAGCACAGGAGATGAGACCGCTCATTTTGACTGGGACTCCGTTATTCATTTGGTTGTCTTCAAAAATGGAGATATGAGGGCGATAACTGCTATGCCAAAATACCCGTTGTCAATGCCGCAAACCTCTTCGCCATAGCTTCTTTCAGGCAGTTTCTGTGAGTGTAGTTTGAAGGCTGGATTTAGATGCCCCAACCACATATCTAAACTGCGGTAGACCTTGAAGGCCACCGTGGCTACCAACAACCGACGGCCATCAACCCTATTGGATTCGTTGCAGCGCCCGATTTCGTTCATCGTGCATCCATGTTGTGGATGCTGGAGCTAGACAGCGTGCCGGTAAATCATCACCATAATCAAGATCTACCAATGTTCCACGATTCCGAGTGCTCTGGACGACACCAATCTTTGGTAACTGTTCGATGTTCGGTTCGGCACTTGATATAATTGCATTCATTCTCTATCCTGCATAATTATGCCGTTGGTCTGATTCTCGAAAGGGCTCTGCGCGGTTTCGATGATGTCAAGTTTCACCCGGACGTCAGTTGACTGATCTCAATTGCGCTGATTTATGGCAATCTCGGCGTCAGGCAGTGATGATCTAGGAATCTAGTAACTCGAGTGACCAAGATCGCTAAATCATTCGGTTTGTGCCGTTTTTGGTGGTCACCCGGAAATCGGTCTCAACCCGTATTCATGAACCTCAGTTAGCGGTGAAGAGACGCGACCATCTATCCCAGGTAGCCATGCACGCACTGGACAGTGGGCACAAATTTGCATGGGAGAACACTCGCATTGTTGGTGCCCGCCCAATAAGGGTCGCGAATTCCTGAAGGCAATGTACTCAGATGAGACATGATTTAACGGGCAGATCGGTCTGGATGCAGCATATAAAATCGTCAAGAACAAATTTAGACCAACGTAACCAATCCCCGAGGATATGACAAATTGCAATTTATAAGCATTGACACAGACTTTAGTCAATCAGGGGATCCTTTGTCAGAATCAGTTTGGAAGTTACTTGTTTTTGCATATCAATAGTCTATAGACGAGCTGGGGAACCATTCTTGAAAATTTATACAATAAAGTTTATTTTGTTTCCAAAGAAACTTGCCTATTTCAAATTATGGATAAAATTATTTTCAAGCCGTATGTCTAACCATTAGAAGGCACCCCTTTGTATGATTGACGGGTTAAAGAGGTGGACAGTTTTCAGCATGTTGTAATGCCGTCTAATAGACAGAGGAACACACTTTTCTATGACAGTGTTACTCGCCAAATTATTGCCGGTCTTAAGAAATGTGTATGAAGTCGTCACTGTATCTCCAGGGCCAAAGCGCACCGGGCGCCAATCCAACCAGCTATTATGTACGACTGTAAATGTCGGACTGCGCGCGCGGAAGGGCGACAGCTGGCCGTGTAGCCCGTAGTTTTCAAATCATTGTTTCAGTGAAGAGGACCAAATAAATGAAAGAGTCCGCATCCGCCGCAACATCGTTCAACAAATATTACTAAGGTCGTTTCGGCACGTTCTTCGATGTCCGCCCCATGAGCTTGGTGTTTCTGCTCTTAACGTACTATCTTTGTTCACCTGGAGGGCTGAAACCAAAAACCTGACTTAAGACCACTCTGGTTAGCCATGGAAGTGGTTTTTGTGACTTCGGCATTTGGGTTCTGCAGCATAAGACAGTGGGTCGAGCTGCTTTCCGATCAACTACCGCCGATTGGCACGCGTGGAGCGGTATTCAGGACTCGGAGTCAGGCTATCCTGTCCCCCTTTAATGTGGTCTCTATGGTAGTTGCATTTGCGTGAGACCCTAGGACCCCTTAACTGTACACTAGGGCGTTCGTGGCGGGCGCGGATAGGCCATCTGACATTGTCAATCACTCTTCCCAAGCCAAAGCACAGTCATCCTGACTTCCTCTTGTGATCAGGACGCGGTCGGTGTGGGAAGGCAGAGTCAGGTAATAAGGCGCAGACCTGCTCGTTTATAAACCAGTGGACGAGCAAGTTGAGCTGAGCCCATCTTGTGGGAGAGTGGCAAACCTCGTTGCTGCGACGAATAATTTGCCCTATGTTTAGTTTAATGCACACGTGGTTGTTTATGCCAACTACCCTGGCGCGTCGACGGGAATGTGAAGCATAAACTCAGATGGCTACCGGTGCCTCGGCTCCGAGTAGTTGGGTCCAAAAAAATAAATTATTTAATTTCGTAAGCTGGGATACAAAGCCGCAGAAAATTCGAGAAAAAACTTTAAAAATGCACAAGGTGCAGCTCAGATTGACATCGGAAAATAACAACCTGATAAAATCATACTCGCCCAGGACGAATACCTATAGTGTTCGGCCCGTTTTGTGATTGAATTACCCCTATCTGTAGTTCGTGAAGACATAAACCGGCAAAATGCGACGCACCACCAAGTTTGACGAAGTTGTCTGAACCATTTTGACACTTTTGGCGGGATCCAGTATGGGAATGGTGTGACCGCGTGTAGGTTAAGATGCCCGGTGCCTCTTTTAGTGCACTTTTCTACTATACTCTATATCGACATCCTCCACAGTCCTTCCTGCAGTTGCCCAGAATGCGATACCTACCGGTTGTTATACAGGCATGACGGTACTGAACCTCCAACTAGACGGACTACTTCTGATGTAACTGTACCCATTTTCTTCATGGTTTCTTTGTTCGTAATCTATTTCTCTCTATATGATAAATTCTTGCATTCAATTATCCCTTTCCTACCTTATTCGCCTGAATGAGCACTATGGTTTATCTGAGAACTTCACTGGCTTATTCTCACCCAGGTTCTCCAGGTAGCGCTTGCATTAGTCTGCGTGCGTGCTCCTCAGCGTCTTTGGCCGCTGGGCGTCAAACAGATCACCCTTAGTGTATAAGCCCACAAATCATAAACTGCTAGTGTAGGGCTAGAGGCTAGTACGACAATGCCAGGGCAGCCGTATCACGCACAGGTGAATGGGAGAGAAACTACTGTGGCTATGGTGCATAATCGAGTCTTTCAGTGGCGACGGTTTATAAAAATAAAAACTTCGAAATAGGGGCTGTCTGAGGTGCGAATGTCCACTCAACG